CTGGCTTCTGTGTTCTTTCGAGAGGATCCTGTGAATCATCGAAAGCTTCCTTGCTTCTTGGTGCAGGAGAGTATCCCAAATTTGTCTGTGCCTTCCCCACCCAAGCTCTGCACTCAATCCATTTGTCCAAGGAACACTGGTTCCTTTTGGCAAGGAAAAACCTCTTGCAATTGTGATAGTATTTGGCTGGTACAAAAGTAATGGCGGATTTTGCCATGACTTTCAATGGCAAAAACCACCACTACTTTTGCACCAGCCTAATAGGACCACTTAAAGGAAACATTACAGTACTCAGTGAGCAATACAGCTAAGTAATGTAATGGGCAGATGCTGAAACAATGAAAAGAGTCTGTCAACATATGTAGAGGCTATCAATGGCAGATTTGGAATAGGATATCAGGAAAGTTGGCAGCAGAACCCAGCATCTGTGTCCTGGCTGCCATAGTGAAGTTCACTGTGATGTTTCATTAAATGCCCTGTCGGCACCTCCATTGTTTGGGAATTGTATTCAACTGCAAAGAATAGAATATCTAACATAGGGCCACTTAGCTAAACAGGGCCTTTTCATTTTTTCTTGGCCATCACAACTCAAAAATCAGAATCCCAAGAGGGAACATTGCCACTGGTACTGCAGCATTGTCAATGTTAAGATTAGTGATAACAGTAAAAGACATACGGAGGTCACCATTCCAGGACTGACCAGTGTGATAGCTCCATAATGCTAAGCCCATCATCTTTCCAGTCAGCCATGCTTAGACTGCAGACTCCATCCTCATGCCTGCCAGCTGCCTCATTTCACATCAACCCTGGTATCCTCATTTCAGGAAGGACAAAGTGGAAGAGAGAAAGGCAAACAGCAAAACTGAATCTGCAAACTCCTTTTCAGCAGGTCTGTCCAGAACCTTCTACTTACTCCTCACTGGGCAGAAGTGTGTCACATGGTCATACCCAGATGCAGTGGATGCTGGGAAATATAGTTTTTGCCAGGTCCACAGCCACCTGAAACAAACATCAAGAAAAAGAGGGGAAGAGACAATGGGCAGGCAATTGCAATGTCTGCCACAGTACTGCCATTTAAGGCAAAATACCAGGCTGCAAAAACAGGATATTTTTATCACTATTCCTGTTTTACATAAATTCTAAAATAATAGAAGGAGAGGAGCATCACACAGTAGCTAAATAATTTGACCAATACAGATCACCTGCCTCAGCGAATGAACAGCAGTGCATGTGCATAAGCCATTCAGTAGCTTCAGTTCTTCTGTTTTCCTTCTCATTGGTAGTCACATCTATAAACTTATAGCCACAAGAGGAAACGTTGCTGCTGGGGCTGCAGTATTGTCAATGTTAACTCACAGATTGATGTTCAACTCAAAGACACATTGTGGGTAAAGAAATATTTTTCCAAACTGGGCAGGCCCCCCTTGTATCACTTTTTAACTCAGGCAAAATGAATTCAACGGCATTTTAGAAAGAATGGTGATGATTCTTTCCTTACGTTCCCAGACTTTCCTAAGGTATCATTTTCAGAGAAGAATGTTTGCTTGCCTGAATAAAACATAAAATATTTTACTTTTAACCTTGAGATCCACCCCTATTGAAAATCTTCACTCTGCTCTAATAATTTAAGTGAAAATACTCAGTAAGTGAACTTGGTGATAGCTGGATTGATGTCCAAGGGGAGCTCTGCAAGGAGGTTGTGCAGTGTGTCCCTTTAAGAAAAGATGAAGAAAGTGTTTTCTTGTACATTACTAGGATATTCTGTCTGTTTTCTCCTACCCTAAAGTCTAGATAACAGTAATGGCTACTCTCAAATCTTGTTATTGATTGAATAAAACATGATTTCATTTTATATGGATCATGCTTAACCACACTTTCCCTACCCTAGGATTTCCAGTATCTTAACAGCTTGGGGGTATGCCATTGCAAGGAGCCAAGGTTTCCAGTTAAGTATGTTTTGGAAGAGGTGCAAGAGTAACTCAGATGTTCAGAGATTGTGATTAGCATGTCTTTATTACTTCCCATCTTCCAAATATTTTACAAATACCAAGGCTGTGTCTGGGGGGCAGGGTGGTTGGGAGAGATGGAGAAATGCCACAATTGTGTGCAAAACTGTAGCCAAAACATACTTCAGCCCCAGTTGTCTGACTATTCCCAGCAGAGGTACTTGTGGCCTCAACTGCCCAGCCAGTGTCCCTAACTTGACGCTTCTCTTTCCATGTGTAGACAAACCCAACCCAAGCATCTTGACTAATCCTGCAGGGAAAGTACAGGGCTCTACTTATTATCTAATCTGCTTTACATGCAAGGTCTTTGAGTCCTAGAGAGTTTAAGGGGTTTGCTTGGTCTGGGGCTAAGCCAGAAACACTCTGTGGTGGTGGATTTCCTATCAGGAAAAATGCAAGAGTCACATCAATCAATCAGACTTAGTCCCTGTTTTTTCAGACATCTAAGCAAGATGTCCAAAAGTAGCAAAAACACATTTTCTACTTCCTCTAACATTTAAGTGTTCATAGAAAGAGTACTTCATTACAGGCAAAAGGAAATAGATTTTTTCTACTTTGAACCTAATAAAGCAGTATGTATGAATTGTGGCGATGAAGTTAGGGCTTGATCCACAAGAAGCACTAAAGCAGGGAAGCAAATTCTTGGCCCCTTCCAAGATTTGTAATCCTAAATCCTGCACAAGAAATTCTCCATGACAATCTAACTGTCCTCCCTAATGCTGTTGTAGAAGTTTTACGGTTGGAGATTAAGGGAAAAAAGCAAGGGGACCATCACATTCAGCTATCTTCCCTTTGGGATGTCATAGAGAAATCTTATGTTGAGGAAAGATGGCATGATCTCTCTCCCCTCCCCTCCCCTCCCCTCCCCTCCCCTCTCCTCCCCATCCCCCTCCTTCTATCTCTGTCACTCCCCCTCCCTCCCTCACTCCCTCCTAGGCTCAAACAATAATACATTTGGCCTCTGTTGCATTGAGTAATGTCTCGAAATGTCAGGACAACTCCCTCTATCAGGATGTGCCAGAAGACGAAAACCATGGCAGAGAGGTGGCTGGAAAGGTGAACAAAGACACAGCCCCCGGCCACATCTTCTGAGCTGTGGAAGGGCGAGCAAAAACATGCCGCGGAGTATCCAGTGTTCCGCTGTCACTGCGTGTTTTCAAGAGAAGACAGATGAGATTTCTGTCTTCACACTCCCCTTGGCCTCTTGGAACATTCAGAGGTGGTCTCCGCACCAGTGAGTTTTTTCTTGAGCCCCATTCCTATTTAAACATATATTTATAACTCCATTTCCAGCTGGGGATGGTGGAACATGCCTGTCATCCCAGCTACTCAGGAGGCTGAGGCAGGAAGATTGCTTGAGCCCAGGAGTCTGAGGCTGCAGTGAGCTTGATTGTGCCACTGCACTCCAGCCTGGACAACAGAGCAAGACCCTGTCTCTAAAAAATGACATATAAATCAAAGAAAAATAATAACTCCTTCCCTAAGTTTAGCTCTCCAAGAAGCTATGTATCTGCTAGTGTGTTTCGGCCTCAGTACTCTTCACCTTGGGTGCTCAGAGTCGTGAGTGTTTTTATACCAGATGTAACCCTTTGGCTGGGTCAGAGGCACTGTGGTGGGGGGCAGAGGGGGTGTGTGGAGACAGTGTGCTGGAATATATACTTCCAAACCGAAAACATATCCAAGAATAACAAGAACATTAACCACTGACCCAAACGCTGGTGAAATTCTATCTCCTTGTCTTTCTCCACCAGTAAACATGAAAATGCCATCCCTGAAGGCTGGAGTAAGTCTTCTGTGAGAGGAAGCAGGGAGAAAAAGAAAGGCTGGTTTGGGAAAGGAGTCCAGCAACTTCTATACTCTTCAATCACGAGAGAAATCTCCCCCTCGTGATAACAAAAGGAGATATTTTTCACAACTGGGAAAAAACAATGGGCTCGTACTTTCCAGAATAAAACCATTATATTTCGGAGTGACTTTTTCTTTGGCTAGCGCCGTCTGTTCATCCTCATCACCTACGGTTCTTCCCTCCTTCCCTCTATAACAGCTTCACTGGTCATTCTGTTTCTCAGTCCAGCCAAGCTCATTCCCATCCTGGACTTGAGTGCTCCCTTTGCTAAAATGTCCTTCCTCTAGATTATTGCAGGGTGCCACCTTCTGTTATTAAGTGTCACCTTCTCTGAGGGGTTCTGGTTCTCCCTGGCCACCTATCTAAGGTTTTTCCCCAGACACTCTCCATTATCTTCTCTCTTTTCTTCTGGCAGTCACTATTCTCTGTTCTGATCTTATTTTTTTATCTATGTATTTATTGTTTATTCCCCTCACCTAGTTGTACACTTCAAAATAATAGGTCTCATGTCTATCCTGTTGATTGCTGTATCTCCTGTACCTAGCATGGTTGGCATTTGTTGGATGGATGGATGGATGGATGGATGGATGGATGAGTGTGTGGGTGGAAGGAAGGAAGGAAGGATATGTGAATGAATGTATGGATGGATTGATGGTCAAATGGAAAGACAAATGATGAATGGATATAATCAATAATATGGCTGAAGAATTTTATCCAGCTTGGTCAAATCTTTTGCTCCATAGCCTACGCTAAAGAAACTAACTCTGGACGCTAGAGCTATAACTAAAGCCAAGGTGGTTAATCAGTTGAAGCTATGAGAAGAAAAACATTATTTGGTTCCAGCTTTAAATGCACACCTATTCTCCTTCCAAATATCATTTTCATTTTTAAAGTAATTTGAAGCTTAATGCATAGCTCATAACTCATTAATCCTCAGAATATTCCCAAGTAGCAGGCTAGGAGAAATTTTCTGATGATCTGGCTTTTAAGATATGAAGAAACTAAACCATAGGGTTGCAAAATGAGTTTGGAATACCATGCTGGCTTACTTTCAGCCACTGGAATTGTCCTTGCTCCTGAATGTAATGGACTGTTAAGGATAACATTTTTAAATCATGTGTCTTTGTTTGCTTGTTTGTCTGTTTTAGAATAATCTCAACGTGGGAAGTGACACCACATCAGAAACCAGCTTTTCTCTCTCCAAAGATGCACCAGGGGAGCATCTGGATCGCCAGGCTGCACACCAGCCCTTCCCCAGACCACGATTCCGACAAGAGACTGGGCACCCTTCATTGCAAAGAGATGGCCCCAGATCCTTTCTCCTCGATCTACCAAACTTTCCAGATCTTTCCAAAGCTGATATTAATGGGCAGAATCCAAATATCCAGGTAATTCTTGGCAGCTGGAAGGTAGAAGATAAAAAAACAGTCCATCTTTTGTTTTGTGATGATTCCAGTGGAAACTGCTGCCTTACCTCACTTTTCTTCTTAACCCCTTAATGATTCTTCCTTAAGATCATGTTACCACCATATGAACAGTGCTGCATTTCATTAAGTGACACCCTTGATTGTGAGATGCACCATTATTTTATGAACCACTCAAAAGAAGAAAACACTACTAATTGTGACACACCAAGGATTACAAGATACATACTAATTTCAGAGACAGTCAAATATAAAATCAAAACTGATGGAATGTGGTAGTTATAGAAAAAGGCCAATTTCATCTGCGAACAGAATGGGCAAATGATTTCAAATATGATTTCAAAGCACTCAGGAAAGCTCTTTCTCCTAATGCCCCTCTAAACTTGCCTTGGACGCCAGAAATTCCTTCACAAAGAGACAAGCTTCCGTTACTCTAAAGTATACATGAACTTACAAAAAAAATTACTAAGAGGAAGGAAGGTGAGAACAGGAGTTCCTAGGAGAGAGATGACTATCTTCCACTAAGGTGGGATCTGATGAAGCAATGGGAAATGGGAGGTGAGGGAAAGGGTGCCTGGGATTCAAAGTAGTAACTTCCGTCTACACGGAAATAGCGCAGTATACTTTACAAAGCAAATGTTGATCTGATTTGATCCTCCCAACACCCTCATGAAGGAGACAAAGCCCATGTCATTTTTCTAATACTATCAACAATGCACCAGATACTCAGAAAGTTACTGTTTAGTTTACCCAAGGTCACATGGCAGTAAATAGTAGTTGTAGGGCTCAAACCCAGGCTCTGACTCCCAACCCACATTCAGAGACAAACTCCTAATTTTGAATGTTGTTTTTACCTTTATCTGTTTCTGCCCAATGATGGCTGAGAGAGGCTCATCCTTCGGGCAACCCAGCCCCTACCCAGCTTTCGTCCTCATATGCCTGCTTCCATACATTTTTTAAAAGATGGTCTCAGTCTGTCACCCAGGCTGGAATACAATGGCATGATCATAGCTTATTGCAGCCTCTACCTCCCAGGCTCAAGCGAACCTCCCACCTCAGCCTCCCAAGTAGCTGGAACTACTACAAGTGTATGTGACCCCATACCCAGCTCGCTTTTTTAATTTTTTGTAGAAGCAGAGTTTTGTCCTATTGCCCAGGCTGGACTCAAACTCCTGGGCTCAGGCGATCCTCCTGCCTCGGCCTGCCAAAGTCCTGGGATTACAAGTGTGAGCCACCACAGCCAGCCCATACTTATAAGCTTTGCTTCCAATTCTTTCTATTTGTATAGGGGCATCTTTTCTGTACTTTTTCTTCTCTGTACGAAAAGCCAATTTGCTTACATAGCAGAAAGTTCCTGAACTTGGACTCAGAGCAATTGATCCTTCATTAACTGCCTCTCTTTCTCCCGGGACTAACACCCTCTGCGTGATAACAGTTTTAGATCAGGTTTCATTAACCTGAGTTGTTTTTTTTTTTTTTTGAGACGGAGTTTCACTCTTGTTACCTAGGCTGGAGTGCAATGGTGCGATCTCGGCTCACTGCAACCTCCGCCTCCTGGGTTCAGGCAATTCTCCTGCCTCAGCCTCCTGAGTAGCTGGGATTACAGGCACGCGCCACCACGCCCCGCTAATTTTTTGTATTTTTAGTAGAGACGAGGTTTCACCATGTTGACCAGGATGGTCTCGATCTCTTGACCTCGTGATCCACCCACCTCGGCCTCCCAAAGTGCTGGAATTACAGGCTTGAGCCACCGCGCCCGGCCCTCAACCTGAGTTGTTTTGCTCCTAACACCAGTGTCATGGTGGCAGACAAATGTCACTGAGAATACTTAATTAGAATACCAACCCCTGCTGTATATAAAATGCTGCATTAAGTTACAGGAAACTGAAAAATGTAAGGCCTGTTCCCTCCAATAAATGAGATAGATGTGAAGATCCCGGCAACCACATAAAATAGTACCAGAAGGATCATGAAGACAGAAGACAAAAAGCACTGTGTCCTCAGGGGGATGGATCTCAATAGGTGAGAAGAAGTCGGGCAGGCTCTATTAATAGCACAGAGTGAAAAATGTAATGGAGATCACTCTTAAACAACCCATGTGCAGAAATCACTGTGTGCCCAAGCTAATATTTCTCGTGAGTTTTGTATTGTTTTAACTGATAAATTGGAAAAACAGGCCTTTGGCTCCAACGTCCCCTCTCAAGGGACTGACCACATGGTGTGATAAAGAGCAATGGAGCCCTTTGGAATAGGTGCAGATTGGCAAGAAAGGCCCTGACTTCATACCATTGCTCAACCTTGCTTCCTATCATGGCTCATCCACATGTTTATAGGTTTTCTGGTTCCGGAATCAGGCAGCCCTCATCCCAAGGGCATTTGGGCCATGCCCAAAACAATCTAGCACTGTTTCCCAGAGGTGGGAATGTCACTTGGGATATAATGCTGAGGACTGAGCTATAATACCAGTGTAATAGATTTAAGAATTACTAATGTAAAGTCACAGGAAAATGCGTGTATGCAGGAGAATGGAAGGCTGCTGGGGACTGTTTCCTCATTGAAAGTTACTGGGTGCTTTGTTGTTGACCTAAAAACCCAATTTCAGACAGAACTTCTTGGGATTCCCTTTCTATCTTCTAGATAAATCCATCAGTCTGGAAATTCCCATTCCATACTTAGACCTCACTGGGGTCTTAATTTTATTTATTTTATTTTGTTTTGACAAGGTCTCTCTTTGTCACCTAGGCTAGGGTGCAGTGGTACAATCACGGCTTGCTGAAGCCTTGAACTCCTGGGTTTGAGTGATCCTCTACCTTAGCCTCTGAGTAGCTGGGAGTACAGGTGTGAGCCACCATTCCGAGCTAATTTTTTTTTTTTAATAGAAACTGGACCTCACTATGTTGCCCAGGCTGGTCTCGAACTCCTGGCCTCAAGCATTTCTCATGCCTCAGCCTCCCAAAGTGCTGGGATTATAGATATGAGCCATTGCAACTGGCCTGTCTTTTAAAAATATTACTTAAATATTAGGGAAAAGCAATAGTGTAAAGGCAGTTGGGACTCCCAGAGCTGCGAACCCCAGATTACTTTTCAAAAGAAAGGAAGGGGGAAACATTAAGTGCTTGGCCCTCTGTAGCCACGTGATGGACCTGTGCAGGAGCTCCGTGGAGCAGCCAAGCTTACAATTCATTTTTCACCATAATCTGCTGTGTTATTGAACTAAACAAGAAGTAGAGAATGCTTTGGAATAGTGCCACCTGGCTTCCTAAGGGGAGACGGGGCTGTCAGAGTTGTGGATGTGGAAGGAAGTGAAGTGAGGGAGGGAGCAGAGAATAAACATAGGATGTGTTAGAAGAAGGCCACGGTGGGCCATGGGTGCTTGCAGCATGGGGTGCTCTCTGGCAGTGCCGCTGGGACCTTTATAAAATGCATGTCTCCATGAGCTGTTACAAAAGTGTAGTTGCAGAGATGGTAGGAATGGAAGCGATTTGCCCACCTCTCCTCTGAGCCCCTAAGCTGCCTGCTCATGTGGACTTCAAACAGGTGAGAAGTCACAGCCCATGCTTTCTTTTCCCTTTGTCTTACTCCTACCCCCAGCACAAGAGCAAGAAGCTTACCTCCAGGTGGTGCTTCCGAAAGAGATGCTTTGGAGGACAGGGTAGGGAGCGGGACGGGGCTACTCCTACCAAATCCCCATATTTGCAGCAAAGATCACCATAACCCCCAAGAGTAAAGGTTTACAATAGCTCCAGACATGAAGGTTATTGGCCAAATGGACTCAAAATTAATACAGCTCCAGCCTAGATACGGTCAAAGTCAAAAACCCAAAAGGAGTAAGCCAATAATCTCTTTTTGCCTACTGCCCAGCTGAGTTATTCTATTTCTGCTCTATGCAATCCCTATCTGTTACTTTTCTAAGGCGGCGGGCGGTGAGGGGGTGGCATTTTGGCCCTAAAGAAAATAAAATTGTACTGCATTTCTGGCCTTCTATTTCTGGAATGCCACTGAAGGTCAGTATTGGTCATTCAGAAAGATATTCAAAGAAAGAATAAAACAGCTGCTACCCCTGGGAGCCCCAGGCTTCTGTCGATGTGTACTTGTATGTGTGTGTGTGCGCGCACACGTGCACACACACATACACACCCACACTCCACAGCACTGGCCTCTGCAGCCCCATGCACCACTGCACTTGTGTAAACCAGTTCCCTGGTGGTCCTTTAAAACATGAGGTACTTTCTACAAGGAGGTGATGGTTTCAGTGTTAGTAGCCCTCACCCCTTCCTCAAAGCACTGTTCTTTTGTTGAAATCCACTGGTTTGACACAGGGTGGATTCAGCCCAGCAGACAGCCCTGCTGGTCCCTGCGGGCCCCGTCAAAGCATTCCCTCTCCCTGGGTAGCAGAGTGAAGTCAGGTGAGGAGCCCTTCAGAGGGTCGGCTTCTGCTGCCAGGGCTTCTGGCCTCATCTGCCCCTTCCCCTGGCAACCTGCCTTGGCCCCCACCCGATTCTCCCTAGCTGGAGCCTGGGAGCTGAATGGGAACTTGATACCCACCCTCCGCACCACCCCACCCCTTCAGGCTCTGAAAGTGTTTCCCACGCTCCAGGGCTAAGGAAACAGCCTGCACCTTTCTGAAGTGCCATTGCTAAGCCCATGCAAGAGATCACGTCCCTCCTGGGCCTCTAGACTTTCAGAGTAGGAAATCCTAATAAAAGCCCCAACATCTGCTTCTGTAGAGCGTTTTAACTCCCAGAAGTCAGGCAGCCTCTGTCCCAAGTGAATCAGACATTCCTATTTTAAGACTGGCTTCAAGCTGTGGAAATGAGGAGGGGAAAAAAATGCACAAAATAGAAATGTCCTCAAACTCCTAAACTGAATCTCCATATGAAATTTAAAACAATGTAAGAGGTTGGGTTTTATTGAAAACAAAAATCATTCAGGAAAGAATGTAAATCCCCCAAAACAAGTTAGACTTCAGCTTTGCTGGGTTTTCAGTCTACAGCTGATAGTCAGATAGCAGAGGCAAAAATCTCTGCAATAAATCCATTATTGGGGCTGACTGTATCAGTTCGTTATGACACTAGCTATTCACAGCCAAATATTCTCTTTTTTGGATCAAACTGATATTAGTATTCATTTCAACCAATATACTTATTTCTTTTCTCCCATTAAGAGGAACTTTAAAATAAGCCTTTTTTTCCTTGCACAGGCTTCTTAACATGGCCATAGCCCTCTTGAGTGCCACAAGATACAATCAGAGGTGTTCACTAGGGCTACCGTTGTACGAGCTTCTACTTTTGATTTCCCCTTTCCCTTTTTCTCTAATATACCTTTAGAAGAATGACAAGTCTGGCTAGATAGGAATCAAGACATTTCTACCCAAGATGTGAACCCATGCCCCTATAGAGGCAAGCCTGTTCAGCTCAGATTCTCACGGGGTACTGCTGTCAATATATGGAGGCCGATCGACTTGTGTTTAGGATCACGTACTGCCGTTTAGTCAGTCAGCCTTGACCTCTGTAGCCCCATGCATGTTATTGGGCTTCTCTGTGCCTCAGTGTCCTTGTCTATAAAATTGGAATGACGATACTACCTATAAGTAGCTGTGTAGTATAATACTGCATATAAGTATGATTATGAGGATTCAATGAAGTTATCCATATGAAGTGCTTAGCACAGGGCCCTATATAGGATAAGCTTCCCAGAACTGATAGATGCTGGTTGGTGATGATATTGGAGATGAAGAAGACAGAGGAAATGTATATAAAAATAACTGGGAATCAGAACTGGTTCTGAGATCGGTACTATACCTTACTTGCTGTTTACCTTGGGGCCTTAAATTCTCCAAGCCAGTTTCTGTGCCTGAAAATTGGGTCTAAGTTGTGTAGATGGACAGTAGTGCCTGGACTGGCATTCTGCAAGTCTCAAAGCAGTAACCACAGTTAGCTGGGGCTGCCACCATTGTTCTTACAGCATCAGCGGCTCTGAGAAGAGGGAATTAGATATCTTCCCAGTCCATTTCGTGTTCTTTCCATGGCAGCTGTCGAGGAAGAAGGGGTGGAATGATCTGGATTTAAAACCCTTGTTGGAGACATGTCCTCTGTGCTCCCAAGGAAATCGTTTTCCTCTCTGGAAAATACCTGCCCACTCCTACCAATTTCCACAGATCACAAGGCTTAGAGGACTAACAAGCAAGAAATTTTTCCTGAGTTTGAAGAGCATGGCCTCTGTATTCTCAGTGACATTCGTTTATTATCAGCTAGGCTGAGAATGGTATTGGTTTCCCTATGGGAAGTGCATTTCTGAGCAAGAATCAAGAGTTTGTTTCTAATCGATGTATTAATTTTCAAGAGAAGGAAAGCTGATCAAGGTACATTGGATCTTTTCCTCATTTCCTGATTTTAAACAGAATTTTCCAAATTGGCACTTGTTTTGGACTCTCTTTCTTGGAGCTGGGGAGATTCTGCCAGGAACTGAACTTGAGGCATTCTTTTATCATCATGACTTGAGTGTGGAAAAGTCCAGAAGAAAAAAATATACTAAGACGCTTTGTATTAAGAATGAGAAAGGATGGTAAGATCTAGAGTCTTTGTCAGTTTGGAAATCTGTGCTCACTCCCACATCTGCCGTTCATCACACTGATCATTGTTCAAGACATCTTTATCAAAGGATTCTTTGATGCTAAAAAATATGTAATAAAATGAGAGCGATAGGAAACATCAAATGAGCCCTCGCCATTGGAGAAGTCATTGATCACACTCATTAAGTCTTTTTAATTGGATGCCTATGAAACCTCAGGTTCAAGATTAGATTTCTTCTTTCGATATCAGCATGAGGTTTTTACTTTGTTAACTGTAGGGAAGGGTGGATCCCGAGAGTTGTTTGTTTTATGTTTGTTTTTGTTTTAATTCAGTTGAGGCAGTGGCTAGCAATTAAAGGGAAAAATAAGCCTCTAAGTGTTGAGATTTAGTCGTCGATACAGCTTTTGGACTAAATTTGTATTTTGCTACTCATCGCCTGGCCAGGCAACAAATCTATTTTGTTTGGATCTGAGCAGCAGTTCGGAGAAACAAAAAAAAAAAAATCGTATTGACGGTAATAGCTTGAAACATGAAATTGTTTTTATTCCCAGCTTGGAGAAATTGCAGGGCACGTTTTGTTTAAGCAATCCCTTTGACTCCAGTCTGAATACAAATGGAATACCAAAAGTGTTGGGTGCATTCCCTCTTATCTCCTACCCAGAGACTGATTTCATTACCATAATTGCAGGCTTGCCTGGCTCTTGGCAGCCTCTCCCCTCCAAGACCCTTAATAGCCTTGCAGCTCAGTTGTTCCGTCTCCAGGCAGAGGGAGACGGGGCTGCAGAGAAGAAAGGTTATGTCTCCAAAGGCTCAGTATCGCCCTGCCACTGCCCAGCTTGGCTTGGCTCCACCTGGCTGTGTGCTCCTTGTCCACTTGTCTTCCTAAGCTTCTGTGTGGGTCCCAGTTACCATTACTCTCCGGCAGCCATTCATTCTAACAAATAGCAGTGATAGAAGATGTATGATGTATTCCTTCGCTTTTGTTTCCTTTTTTTTTTTTTTTTTTTACTTTTGGGATTACTAAACAGCTCTACAATTATTTCCAAATATGCAAGAGATGCCTACAAGACTGCAGGTTCTAAGGGTGGTGGCCTGGCCCTTCTAGGTGTCCCACGACAGAGGAGAAAGGTGCACTTGGCCTGCTGCAGCCTGAGTAGACTCTGGGGTTAAAAGTCACCCTCTTGACCATGTGTCCAGACCCCATAAAACCACATCCCAGGCCCACTGGCTGGGCAGCATCCTTTGAAGTGAGCAGAATTCAAACCTCGCCATTCCTAACACAAAAGGAAGGGGCTGTTCGTCTCAGGGATGGTCACACCCCAGTGTGATTTGGCAGGGCATCTCAGCAACTCTCTCGGATGTCAGGTTAGGGCAAAACTGGAAATGCATCTGCCCAGTACATCTTGGGTTGATTACTTGGAACGCGTGTTTCTGATTCATTTGCACATAACTCATCCAGGGGGTGTTGCAAGAGCTGTGTGATGGCCAAAGGAACCCAGTGCATCTTTTATTATATTTTTTAAACAAGTCTCTCTACGTTGATTGTCTCTTGGAGCCAAGAAACTTTATTCTTCCAGCCCCGTGACAGACTTCAAAATACTTTCGTAAATCTGAGAACAAGTTCTAGCCTTGGCTCCAGGACTGTCTACTCTGACCCTACAGGTTGGTTGAGGAGTGTACAGGCTAGTGATGAACCATGGGATGAAAGAAAATTGTAGCTGGGAAATCCTGGTTTTGAGGAGCTTGTGCTCATGTTTCTATATACCCTGAAGCAACCAGCCCCCACCTGTACCTGTGACCTTGTTGTTTCTTTGATCTCATGAGGGGACAGTAGCTCTGTGACTTACTTTTTGAGAGACAGTGTGGCAAAGTTAGGAAGTGCATAGGCTCTAGAACCAGACTCCCCATGTCTGCCGCTTACTGGCTCTGTGACCTTAGGCAAGTTGTTGATGTCTCCATGCACCAGCTTTCCCTGGCTGTAAAAGTTATCTGGCAATCATCTCAAAACTTAATAGTTTGAGACAATGATCACGGGATTGCTGTGGGTCAGGAATTTGACTAGGACTCAGGTGGGAGAGCTTATCACTGCTCCATGGGGTGTTGGCTAGAGTGACCCAATAGAGGCTGGAAGATCCAAGATGGCCCTACTCACATGACTGAGGCCTCAGAGCTGGGTGTGGGCCAAGGGACCTTGGTTCTCCTCCATGCAGCCTCTCTCTTTACATTGTCTCTATACACCCAATGGTCTAGGCTAGGCTCCCTCACACAGCGCCTAGAACATTCCAAGATAATGAAAATGAAAGCTGTAAGATCTCTGTTCAGACCTGTCACTATTCTACTCCTACCCATTCTGCTGGACAGAGTGAATCACATGACCCGTGTAGATTTCCAGGGAGGGGAAATGGACTCCACGCCTCTCAATGGGAAATGTTGCACACACAAACACGAATGGGAGGTCTTTACGAGAGTTAAATAATATAGGTGGAGCATTTAGTGCAGTGCCTGGTACACAGATCATGTTCATAAATGTTACGTTTTATTATATGATTATTCTAGAATCACTTAAGGAACAAATATAGTACATGTTTATTTCCTGAATGAAAGGCTTCTCAATACCACATGGAGGAGAAACAAACACTCCAGGCTTCACTCTACTCAAATTACTGACCCACATAGCAGTCCAACAGTCGTCGTTTCCAGCTATTAAGTTTTTAGTCATCGGTAAATCAGGAACTCCAGTGATGAATTTTCCCCACCCAACCCAAGGACATGTTCCATCTAGTCGTGGAATTCCTGTGGGCCATCCCTGAAGGTTTTGCATCATGTATCACCCCTAGCTTTCCTTCACAAGGGATGTGTCCGTCATTTCCCTTGGCCCTCTCAGACTTTCTTCCAAGGGTCACGTAGCTCGGAGACTGTTGACTCCACATTGACCCTGGCCTGTTCTGAATTCTTCAGGTCACCATAGAGGTGGTCGACGGTCCTGACTCCGAAGCAGATAAAGATCAGCATCCGGAGAATAAGCCCAGCTGGTCAGTCCCATCCCCCGACTGGCGGGCCTGGTGGCAGAGGTCCCTGTCATTGGCCAGGGCAAACAGCGGGGACCAGGACTACAAGTATGACAGTACCTCAGACGACGGCAACTTCCTCAACACCCCCAGGGGGTGGGACCATACGGCCCCAGGCCACCGGACTTTTGAAACCAAAGAGCAACCAGAATATGGTGAGTTTACTACCCAGTAATATAAAATTGATGGGGAGAATAAATGAGGATGATGCCTTGGACATGGAGCCAAGCAAAAACCCTGCTTACAGCGTGTGGCTTTTGGTCTTCTGTGAGGCATACCTCACAAAGGCTCTGTTCTGCAGAAGCCCCAGGGAGGTACCACCAGCCACATTTTTCTGGAAATACTATAATTTTAAATCAAATCATAATCACTATACCAATTACCCTAGGAGAGAATTTTTTAGGGTCTTTGGGGTTCTTTCTGCCTCCCCCACCCCTCAAATTTTAGTTTTATTTCTAAAAATGAAGAAATTGTCCAATTAACTTCCTTGTATTTTTACTGTAAAAATTCATACTGAAAATCAAGATAGTAAAAGAGATGTGTACGGTAGCTTCCTTTGATCAGGCAACTGTGTCGTGTTTAATATTGACAGTGAAGTAGTCCTTGAGAATTCACACGAACATGTGTGTCCCAGGTTTTTAAAGTAAGCCCTCCCCCAATAAATTTTAAAACTCCAAGTTGGGACTTCTGGATTCCTGTTTTTGGAGTAGGATAGGTGAGGTAACACCTTCCAAATTCAGTGAGTTAAAATAATAAAAGTTCATTTCTCACTTGAGTTGGGATGGGAGACAGGGTAGGAGAACTCAGCTCCACTCAGTCATTCAGGGATCCAGCCTCCTCCCATTTTGGAGCTCCACCAACTGTTAGGGCCTGAGAGTTATCCTCTGGATGTTCTGTGTCCAGCTGGCATCCAGGGAAAGAAAGGGAGCCTGGAGAAGGAACACACACTCTTAAGGCCCTCAGCCTAGAGGTGACACACATCAGATCTATTGAAATTCCATTGGGAAGACCTGGTCATATGGCCCCACTTCAGTGCAAGGGAGGCTAGGAAATGTATTCTATGTATGTCCAAGAAAAAGAGGACACCAATTTAGCAAGCATCTGGCCAGACTTAGTGGGGAATCAAGCAGTTTGTTATAAGAATGTTTAATGTCTTACAAGTGCACCCATCATCATGATGTTCTTGTGGCTTCACCATCAGTGGACTTGGAGTGAGCAGTATATGAGGAGGATAGCTTGTCTCCTACCATTTGCATTTTTCAACAGAAAGACCGATTGTATATTAGAGAGTCATTTCTTCTCATTAATAGAGAATTCTAAGCAACTTGCAAAACAGCAAGACAAAAATATTTTTTGCTACATCACCAGTTGTTCAGCCAACATTTATTAAGAGCAAGTGTTGTGTCCAACAATATATTGGGTACAAAAATAAGGAAGGCATGGTTTGTCCCCAAAATAGATCTCACCCATCTGTGGACCAAGAGAAAATTAACCAATAGAGCAAAATAGTGCCATGGTGGAGACATGCATCAAGTGCTAAGGGAACAGAAAGGGAATTCTACATCCCTTCCAGCAAGGGGGCTCATGAAACCTTCACCTTTCCCAGAGGAAGTCAAGTTATCTGCGTTCCAGGAGGAAGGACTTGGGATATTAGCCAACATTTAAATAGTACTTACTATGCACTAGTCCCTGTTCATGGCATTTCACATATATTATTTCATTTATTCAACTCTCTGAGGCAGACACTCCACTTTACAGATGGAAAAGTTAAGCAACTAGATCTGGAGGGCCAAGACCTGAGGCTCACCGCAGGCAGTCTGGATCCAGGGTCTGTCCTCTTGACTACTATACAATTCTGCCTTTCTGGGGGAAAACAGTAGCTTACCCCTTAGGACAGTAGAAGGATCTAGAAATGAGTGCTTAGGTTGGAAGATAGGAATGGGAGGAAAAGATGAGTGCCATTGATGAGAGAAGCACAGAGGATTGCTTGATGCCAGCCTGAGATTGCACAGGGTTGGTGGCTTCAGCTGTTTGCCCAGCCCGTACAGAATATTGTTTCTAAGAGTACAGCCCAGACATCTGACATCAGAATCCTTCAGCTGCATGTTTAAAAATGCCAATCCTGGGCCCCAACCCCTTCCCTACATACCAATAGTCCTCAAAGTGTGGCCTCCAGAACCAGCACCACTAGCATCACGTGGAAACAAGCTAGAAATGCGTATGTTTCAAGTCTGACTCCAGACCTACTGAGTGAGACACTCTGGAGTAGGACCCATAAATCTGTTTGAACATGCCCCCCAGGCACTCTGCTGCATTGGGCACCTCTGTTTGAAATGAATGGTTCTCCACCTTGGTTACTCGTTATACTCACTTGGGGAATTTTTTGAAATCCTGATGCCTAGATCTCTCTCCAGACCAACTGAATTGGGATCTCTGGGTATGGGTCCCAGGCATCATTGTCTTTTAAGGCTCCAAGGATGACTTTAGTGTGCAGCCCAGGATGAAGGCCACTGTCTCCATCTCCTGAATGAGAGAGTCTAGGAGTGAGACCTGGAGTCTGTTGTTTGCATCTTTATTTCTACCCTTTTTCAGTCAAGGTCACCAGATCATTCTCATGCACACTGAAGTTTGAAGACCACCACTAGAAACAACTTTTTCATCTGAACTTTACAGAGTACAGTTTGCTGAATTTATGAGCATTCAGAATACCCCCTCTATTTCCATCTTGAGCCTAGAATTTGCTTCTCCTGGGGCAGTTACTGTGGCTACCTCAGCAACCCTCACCCCTAGCCTCCTAGATTTGGAGTACCATTTTGCTCCCGCACCAGGAGCTCACAGTATGCCAGGGTCATGGGGAAGTTCCCATCTTGTATTGTTTCAAAGTACCTTCTAGTATCTTCCCCATGATTAGACTGGACATAGGGATTGCTGCTTTATAAAGTCATGTTATGTACAGTACCTCTAAAGCAGTGCTTCTCAGAGTCTCATGTGCACATAGATAACCCCAGAGGCTTGTTAAAATGCACCTTCAATGCAGTAGGTATAATAAAAGGGCAAAAGCTTGAGTGAAGCTGAGACTGTCCTTCCTCTGACTACACTTTTAGCAGCAAAACTCTAAGCCCATTGTAGGTGCTCAGTGGCATTTGGCGGAATGAATGAAAGAGTGATCATTGCTTTTCATGATAGCCTACAAAGAACGTGTGATTTCCAGAATTCCATACAGCATCAGATAAAGAGATTCCCCTTTTTCTTTCTATTTATTTATTTTTATTTATTTATTTATTTAAAGACACAGGGTCTCACCCAGGCTGGAGTACAGTGGTGTGATCATAGCTCACTGCAGCCTCCAACTCCAGGGCTCAAGCGATCCTCTCACCTCAGCCTCCCAAAGTGCTGGGATTTTTATCCCACAGGCCCACTTTTATTTCAGTCAACAGGAAACGTTGAGCAATTTCTACATATTTATCTCTATATTGGGTGTTATTGTGGAGGAAACAGAGAGAGAACCCATCACCCAGGAAGTGGAGGTTCATGCAACAGCAAAGCAGGGCAAGTCACAGTATCTCGGGGCTTACAGCCTTGTCTGAGACAGGCTAAAATGGCCACAGGAGCTGGCCTTTGTGGAGGAGGTAGATCTCAGAGTTTTGAAGGTAGAATTTTCTAATATTTGTCAGCAAGGAGTATTTCTAAAAATCCTATATGAAATAAATAGGATACAATGGCATCTGTAGAATGAATTACAAAATACTCAACAGAGAACAGACATACCTTGTGATGATGAAAACACAGATGTGATGATACCCTGAATCAGCTCAACTGTGCAAAGTATGTGTTTGAGATGCTGCATTTTAAATCCCTTCTGTGTAGATACTTGGGGTATCCAGGGCAAAGAGAGAGTTCCAGATAAATATTTTTTTGTCTAACAGTAGTGTACCATTTCCACAATTGTTTAGAGAAGCTCACATAATGAAATTACATAGGTACTGCTTATTGTTACTTGGGTTACGACTCAGTTCTTTAAAATTCTCTAACTGGTCGTGATCCTATTTTAAGAGAAAATTTCACAGTGATTTTTTTTTCAGAGGTTTTTCTTTGTAAAGTCGCATTATGGCCACATAAGTGGGTATCTTAAAGACAGAGCAATTTGGTCCAGAATCAAAGCTGCTAGAATACCAAGCTAGGGAACAGGATGTGGTGAGAACAGACAGATGTCAGATCTAATTCCAGCTCTGCCAAGTTTGGGCTGTGTGACCTTAAGCAAGTACCTTAACCTCTCTGAGCCTCAGTCTCCTTGTCCATAAAAAGAGGATGTTTCCTCCTACCTCACAGGGTTATTGTGGGAGTTAAGTCAGTAAATAGACAGGGCAGCTGATTAAAGCTAGCCCTCAGTAGTCAGTAGGCACTGTCATCTAGGATTAATGGTGCAGGTTTGCTAGTGGCCAAGTCAAGACCCAAGTCACTTCAGTTGCCCCACCAGTATCACTGGCCCACAGAACTCTAGTGCCCGAAACTATGGAAGGACGACTTTAAAACACTAGGAGCATCCGTGAAACCCAGCTCTCAGCCCGCTGCACTGGGGCTATTTTTATCTCCTCTTTGAGTTATTTGATGTCATGGCCATGCTCTGTCAAAGCACCATATAAAAAATGCTCCCAGGAACAGTATTTTCCTGCTGTTGTCATTATCCTTGCAGTTAAGCTACTCACATTCATTTTCTGCTCTGAGCAGTGGTCCATGGTAGGTGAGCAACTAAGAACAGGCTTGTCTGAATACAGCAAAAGGAACACTGTCCTCAATGATTTATACTCATCAGAAATTCCCTTCTGTTCTTTGAAGACATTAAACAAATAGAAATCCTCAAGAGGAGGGTCTTTGCTGAGACATTGATGTGGGCCTGTGTGCTGAGAGAGCTTCAGGGGAGTGAGCTCACATACACATACACACTTCTTCCTAGGAGGTAGTTTCACTTCATTGCCAGCCTCAATAGGAATAATTCACCACATGGCAAGTTCTATGCCTAACTTCGGGGGACTCGTATGAAAAAAATGTTTGGAAATAAAATGGCTTTGTGGGTATTTAAAATAAAGACATGGAGAAAGCCACGTACTGCAATAATAAATCCCTGATGGCTTCAGAGTCTGGTAGCTATCTAGAGAGCATATTTTAGGGAGGATTTTATGGGGTATTTGTAAGAGTTAGCTTTTGCTGCTTAGAAAACCACCTCCAAGCCAGCATGGTGACACATGTCTGTAATCCCAGTACTTTAGGAGGCCAAGGCAGGAGGATTGCCTGAGGCCAGGATTTCAAGGCTAGCCTGGGCAACATAGTGAAACCTCGTCTCTACAAAATTTTTCTAAAGAACTTGGCCAGGCATGTTGGCACATGCCTGTAATCCCAGCTACTCAGGTGACTGAGGTAGGAGGATTCCTTGACCCCAGGAGTTCAAGGCTGCAGTAAGCCATGATGATGCCTCTGCACTCCAGCCTAGGTAACAGAGTGAAACCCCAGAACAGCTACAAAAAAAAAAAGAAGGAAAAAAAAGCCACCCGCAAAATTAAAGGAGTGAAAGAGTTATCTCTCTTTCTCATGAATCCATGGGTTGTCTGGACTCTTCTGGTCTGAGCTGGCTTGGCTGGGGCTGAATGGTCTGGGCTGGATGGTCTAGGCTGGCCTCACTCACAGTGAAAGGTGCCCAGCTGTGTAGATGCTGTGTTGAGATGGCTGGGGCCTCTCTCCATTGGTCCCTCCCCCTCCAGGAGGCCAGCCTGGGCCCTTCACACTTGGTGGATGAGTTCCATGCAGCAAGAGGGAATGCGTGGATCCTTTGTATACCCCAGCTGGCATCCTATTTGCTATTATCCCATTGGCCAAAGCAAGTCATGTGGCCTGTCTGGAATCAGTCTGAGAGGTAAATAGCCAAGGGGGTGGCTTTGGAAAGAGGAATTATAGGCGTGATTTTTTAACATAACCTGGCACAATATTAATATTTCATAATTTAGATCCAAGAGACTATAACAGGAAATCACCTCATGCAGGGATTCCAATGCAAGTCTTACAATGAGTTTAATGCTGAAATCTCAAAGTTCAGGGATGATGCCTCTTCAAATTTGCTCTCTACGTTGTGATAGTGGAGAGGCCAGGCTGCATGAGATTTCTGGATAGTGGAGGTCCCTTTGCTTTTGCAAAACCAAGGATACCTCTTGGCGTCCTTCCTTGGGTTGTGTCTTATGCTGGTACCCACTGCACAGGTGATGGGAACTCTACCTAAGAGATTTAATAAGATTTCTTCTGACTTACTCATTTCCCCCTTTTTATAAGTATAAAAACATTATAATCTTTACTTTTACCTTTTTTTTTTTTTTTTCTTTTTTGAGACGGAGTTTTGCTCTTGTTACCCAGGCTGGAGTGCAATGGCGCGATCTCGGCTCACCGCAACCTCTGCCTCCTGGGTTCAAGCAATTCTCCTGCCTCAGCCTCCTGAGTAGCTGGGATTATAGGCACGCACCACCATGCCCAGCTAATTTTTTTGTATGTTTAGTAGAGATGGGGTTTCACCATGTTGACCAGGTTGGTCTCGATCTCTCGACCTTGTGATCCATCCGCCTCGGCCTCCCAAAGTGCTGGGATTATAGGCTTGAGCCACCGCGCCCGGCCACTTTTACCTTTTTTTTTAGCTGTTATTCCCTTTAACAAAATCTGGCCTGAGCAATGTGTGCAGGATATGACTGGGGGCACGCTCATGTGTGTGTGACCTGCTGTACCTGGATGCTTCTCTGACAAGCGTGCAACTGTGTGCTTGTTCCCGGCACCACTCTGGTGCTCTTGGGGCAGTGACTGAGAGATACCAGACTGCAAAGTTCTCAGTGGGAGCAGCGACTGCCCCTACCTCAGTGGTTTCTCTGTCCAGAAGCAACTTGTCTCTCCAGTCCTACTGTGTGACACCTAATGAGGTGGTAGAGATGGAAGAAGCTAACACCAGGGAAGGCAGCCTCATTTCCTGACACAGAGCGCTAGTTTCAAATATCTGCTTAGCTGTGCGGTTGGAAAACCATTTCTTAGAAGAAAAATTCTTTTTTGGGGATTGGGAGGAAAATAGATGGGACCCTGGGAAAGGGGGCAGGTCAGGTGGGAGCAAGATCTCCACTCAGAGTTAGGGAGGGGGACGCAATCATGAAATCCATCCCCCACCATCCAGCTCCTTCAATCTCTCGTAGTGGACTGAGGAGGCTCCACAGCCCTGTGTTTGCCTGAGGCACGTTCAGAGTGAACACCACATAAACAACAGCCTGGAAGGCTGGCACGGGCCCACAATTCAGGTAGAAACATGTGTGGACTACATTCCTGTCAGGCCTATGTAATAACCATCACCACGACCTGTTATGAACAGAGGGCACTCCCTCCCGGCAAGGGGCATGCTTGTAGCTCCACACTTGGCACCGGCAGAGACCCCAAGGCCATAGGAAGATCTGGGTAAAGCAGGAGAAACTGTTGCAGAGCAGAGATGCTGCAGAAAGAATCATGCTTTAGAGAGCAAGGGCTTGGTGCTAGAGCCCTGCTTTCCTCTCTGTTAACCCAATGACCTTGAACCAGGCACCCTACTATTTCAGGACTTTACTTTTGATAAGAGGAAGTCAGTTTGATAGGTGTATTAGTCTGTTCTCATACTGCTCATAAAGACATACCTGAGACTGGGTAATTTATAAAGGAAAGAGGTTTAATGGACTCACAGTTCCACATGGCTAGGGAGGCCTCACAGTCACGCGGAAGGCAAAAGAGGAACAAAGGGATGTCTTACATGGCGACAGGCAAGAGAGAGCTTATGCAGGGAAGCTCCCATTTATAAAACCATCCGATCTCATGAGACTTACTACCACAGAAACAGTATAGGGAAACTCCCCCATGACTCAGTTATCTCCACCTGGTCCTGCCCTTGACACATGGTGACAATTACAATTCAAGATGAGATTTGGGTGGGGACACAGAACCAAACCATATCAATAGGCTACCAACCTCTCCCACACCTCTCCCAAGCCCCTCTATTTCCTGGCCTAGTTTTCCTTTTTGCACACCACTCATCAATTTCTAACATGCCATCTAATTCACTTATTTTTTTTGTGTTTATTGATGATTGTTTCTATTTTCTCACTAAAACATTAGTTCCACCAGGGCAGGGATCTTTGAAGGTTTTACTTAATGGTGTATCTCATATACCTAGAATTATGCCTGACATATAGAAAGGGCTCAATAGGTAATCACCAGATGGCTGTTGAGTAATGACCTTGAGGTCATTTTTAGCTTCACCATTAATATACCGATAATCTGTTGCTGCATGTAGCAAACTATCCCAAACTCGGTGGCTTAAAACAAGAACCATTTATGATTTCTCATGATCCTGTGGCTCAGCAGTTCAGGCAGGGCCACAGGGTAGGTACTCTGCTCCTGGCGGCACCAGCTGCATTCAGTTGTCCACTGGGAAGGGCTAGAAGGCTCGAGAAGGCTTTGTTCACATGTGTGGCATCTCTGTGGTCCTTCATGTGACTCCTCTCTTTCCATGTGATGTCCCATAAGCATCTTTCACAGTGACTGGCTTCCCCATAGCAAAGGCCAGAAGCTGCTAGGCCTTAAGGTCAAATAGGTTCTCCTCTCTCTCTCTGTCTGTCTGTCTCTCTCTCTCTCTCTCTCTCTCTCTCTCTCTCTCTCTCTCTCTCTATGTCAGTGAGTGGCTAAAAGCGCAGAGAAGGAAGGAATTGATGGTGGTTCCTTTTGGAAACTGCCTAGCATATTATCCCATGCTATGCGATTGTATGCATTTTCTGGGCACCTTCTAGGGATGTACAGATCACCACAGTGCCCAAAACCTCCTTGCCGTCACAAATCTGATCCCTAAATAAGCCCTGGAGCCATAAGCCTTTTAGCTCCAGCTGAAAGGTCCCCTCCAGCAGTCCCCTCCAAGAACAAGAATGATAGAAGTGAGTAATTGACAGGCTGCTTGATGGGGAGGGAGATTGTGGGATTCTTTGGAGCAAAGCTGATGACCATCTCCCTGGCTGTCTTCCAGATTCCACAGATGGTGAGGGTGACTGGAGTCTCTGGTCTGTCTGCAGCGTCACCTGTGGGAATGGCAACCAGAAACGGACCCGGTCTTGTGGCTACGCATGTACCGCGACAGAATCAAGAACCTGTGACCGTCCAAACTGCCCAGGTGTGTTTACCTGGGTGTGTAGCTCCAAGTTCAGGGGGAAAGCTTTTTAATGTATTATTAAAAACTTGGTGAAATTGTCTTTTTAAAAGATGTAACTATTTTTTCTAATAAGACTTCTGACCAGAGTGAGTCAGGAGATAATTGATGAGCTGAATGGATTTTCTGAGTCTTATCCACAATTGCAGTGGCTGTGACCTAAAAGACAATGCCACATTGTACTTATTTAATTTAAAGGAGGGACTCGGGTTAGACTGGGTTTTTGATGTGGGATTTGTTGTGCCTTGAAGAGACACACAAAGGCAGACACTCATGGTCTGATCTGATGAGGCAGCCAGGATGAGAGGCTTGACAACCCTCTACAGGAAAAAGACACCATTAGCCCCACTGGTGGTAATACCGGAGAGTTGCCAAAGGCTCCCAGGAGCACAACCTGGGGCATGTTTGTAGTTAACTTTCACTTTACACTACATTGTCAGTGCTTCAGAAACTAAACTCATTGCATACTTGGTAAGGGGTCATATTGAAGGTCAACAGTAATTGTGACTGACTATAGCAGTGCAGTGGTGATCAAACTATGGCCAGGTCTGGCTTGAGACCTATTCTTTTGTGGCCCCATACATTTTTAAAATGCTGTGAAGAGAAGAAGAAAGAGAAGAGAAGGAGGAGGAAGAAGAAAAGAAAGAAAATCAAGGAGGAAGAAAAGAAGGAGGAGGTGGGGACGGAGGAGGAGGGGGAGGAGGCAGCTGCAACCAAGACCATATGTGACCCACAAAACTTAAAATATTTACACTCTGACCCTTTACAAGAAAAGCTTAGTAACGCCTGGTGTATTTCCCATTGCCAGGTAGAATACCAGCCTAAAATAATAACCTAGAGCCTTTCAAGAAACCACACATTCCAAATGGCTTCAGCTGAAAACAATTTCAGAGACAGAAAATCTGATCTCCGCACCCCAGACTTCCTTTTTCTACCTCTAGACACTCTGTTCTCCAAACAGAGACATTTGGAACAAAGGAGAAATGAAAGCACAAAGGTGTTTCTGCGGAGAGGGAGGAAGAATCAGATTGGAATGAATGTGTATGTTAGCAAAATGTTTGGTTATCAAGCAAATGTTTCTACAGCCCCCTAGAAAACAGGGCTGATGGCCGGGCACAGTGGCTCACATCTGTAATCCCAGCGCTTTGGGAGGCTGAGGCAGGCAGATCACTTGAGGTCAGGAGTTTGAGACCAGCCTGGCCAACATGGTGAAACCCCATCTCTACTAAGAATACACAAATTAGCCGGGCGTGGTGACGGGGGTCTGTAATCCCAGCTACTGAAGAGGCTGAGGCAGAAGAATTGCTTTACCCTGGGAGGCAGAGGTTGCAGTGAGCTGAGATCATGGGAGCACTGCACTCCAGCCTGAGCGACAGAGTGAGATTCCGTCAAAGGACGGAAGGAAGGAAGGAAAGGGAGGGAGGGAGAGAGGGAGGGAGGGAGGCCTGAGCAACAGAGCGAGACTCTGTTGAAGGGAGGAAAGAAAAGGAAAGGAGAAGAGAGAAGGAGGAGAGGAGAAGGGAGGGGAGAGGAGGGGGGAGGGGAGGGGAGGAGGGGAGAAGAGGAGAAGGGAGGAGGGGAGAAGAGGTGAGGAGAAGAGGGAGGAAGGAAGTTAGGAAATGAGGCTGAAATGCAGGAAGTGGCGGTTCTGGCTCCATGACAGCCACGCAGATGGATTTCGAAACAGTAGAGTAACCATTACAGTGCTTTTCCTGACTTTCCCCTGCTCATGAGAATGAGCTGAGTTGGAAGCCTGGCAGGTGGGATTTGGATGTGTAGAAATAAGCAATAAATAATAATGATAGGAGGAGGAGGAAGAGGATAATGAAGGGGAGAAGAAGAATATGAAGGAAAAAGAAGATGATGAAGGTAAAAAGGTGAGACAAAAGAAGATAAAGGCGAAGAAGAAAAAATAAAATAGATGATGATGAAGAAGATTTTTGAGTACTTAACTATCAAGCAAATGTCTAAAGTCCATACAGGTATTATTTTGTTTAATTTTTCACAGTAACTATGAAATAGGTATTTATGATTGTGCCCATTTGACAGCTATAGAAACTGAGGCACAGAGGATTAACTTGCCTAGAGTCACACAGACAGCACGTGATCAAACTGGAATTTGAATCTAGACAGTCTGATTACAGAGTTCATATTCTTAATGATTAAACTCTTTGTTCTTCACCAAGAGAAGGGTGTCAGGATCAGCCACACGTGGACACAGACAGCATTTGAAGTCCAGGTTTGGGGGCTTGTCTGTTGTTTTCTCTTCCAGAGCTCACATCCAGACTCAAGGTGGTAGATTTAGATATCTTGTCAGGGGAAAGCTCCCCTCTGCCTCCATTTACAAATGTTTCCTTCTTGATTTCTGTCACCGTGAAGAGCTGGGTGGCCAGCAGCCCTCTTCGTACCTTTTTTTCTTGTCTGTCCTTGCCTTTCTTCCGTCCTTTCTGCCTCTCAGTTCCTGGCTATTCCAGCTTTTCTGGCTCCTTTGGAACATGAGGGGTTTCCTTTTCCAGGCTCTCTTTCATTGTTTTATTTGTTGATTCTCAGCTTTCCTGGAAAGAATCATGGGGCACAGTCTCCCTGGCCTGGCAGTTACAACGCTGTGAAAGTTTGTTCTGTAGGTCAACCCTGCAAATAAGTTTGAGGTGCCTCACATAAAATCAGAGAGAGCCCCTTAAAAGAAATCAAGTCAGGGAAACCGGCAGGCAAGGCCAAGGCTCACCAGCAAATGTTACCACAGTGCTGCGCTCCCTCCTCTTCTTACTGCTTTACTATGTACCAGATTGCAGTTTGTAAAGGAAGCTTGGTTAGGGGTGGTAGTTTGAGTGAGCCAAGAAGTTTGAGTGGAGCTGGGTTCCGTTCCTCAGAGCAGATTATGAGAAGCCCAGCTTTTACTTTCTGAAGCATCATCAACAATGCTAAGTGTCCGAGAATCTGAGATAGCGCATCTCGGCTATGCCTTATAGCATCCCCGGTGAGCTAGGCTAGTAATGAGCTAGACAAATATTCAAGGAAAAACTATCACCTAACACTTCCCACTTACTGCTCTATGTACTTTCTTTACATACAACTCATTTCATTATTTCAACTCTAGGAGGTAGGGCAATTAGTTCTCCCCATTTACAGATGTGAAAACTGAGGCACACAAAAGTCAACTGGCTACCCCAAGGTCACGTGGCTAGTAATGATTTGAACTCAGTCAGTCAGTCATTAAGAACAAGATATTAACCACTACGTTCTACTGCCTCTGGTTTAGTTTGTCACCTTGACCCCATCCTGACATGTGTCCCCCACTGCTCAAAACCCCATCCCCAGGCCTCAGTTCCTAAGGACTCATTCAGGCACATTTGGATCTGATTTCATGCTGCCAGTGGTATCTGGGGTTTTAATATAGTTTCTTAACTACTACCTGCTTTTTACTGTTTCCTCTGTTGGCAAGTTTCTGCCCGTGAGTAGTAATGAATACAAAAAAGGCTTTGTTCAGGTGTATTTATTATTTTATTGTGGGGGGGAGATAACTTTTTCCATATAATGATGGAAAAATGAGCTCTTGTCTATGTTTAGGAATTGAAGACACTTTTAGGACAGCTGCCACTGAAGTGAGTCTGCTTGCGGGAAGTGAGGAGTTTAATGCCACCAGACTGTTTGAAGTTGGTAAGAAGGTTTTTTTTTCCTTTTTAATCCAAATATTGACTTAGTGCCTGGGAGATTCCTTTTGCCTTTGCAATGCCGTCCTTGGATCCACGTGAATGTTTCATTTTCCTTTTCTGGGGTCCAGTGCTCCCAACATGTGTCTTGCTTACTGAATATACTTCAAGAGAGAGAAATACAATCCTGTGCCTCCTACACCAGACCACCGGACCGAGCGCTTCTGTGTTCACTCTGCTGTATGCGCAGCCTTCACAGCCAGAGGCAGAGGGGACCACTCTCTCCTCTTAGCACAGAATAAGCCCATAGCAGGGGCTCAAGCCATATGGAATCTGTTCTTACTCAGGCTTCATTAAGCGTCCTCAATAAAATCAAGAAAAGGTACCCCCGGTTCTCCAGCAGAGATAGGGAGGAAAGGAAAGAGGGAATTTTCTCAAAATGTTGCACCTCCAACCCCTGCAAGAATTTTTCATCAATCTTTGGTACATTCTGCTACTTGTCCAGTAGAAAATGCTAGAGCAAATGCAATAAGCATGAACCAAACAAAATGGAAAGTGACTCTTCAGGCACAAGGTGCAAGCTTACTTTTTAAAAATAGCTTTATATGCTTCTCTGTATATGTAAGGATTGTAGAAGGGTAAAATTCCTTCTCCTCCATTTCTTTTAACCACGTAAAGGTTCTTAACGTAGCCTCTTCACATCTGCCCTGCCTTCTCAGTCAAAATGTAGCCGTCCTGAGTCCTTTTTTTTCATAGCCCAACTATTTGGGGGCTAATTTGATGAAGAAATATGTTCTTCAAATGCCTATTGGGACCAGGTAAGCATCTAAGTAGAACACGTCTAGAATAAAAAGAAAGAAAAATAAGAAAGTGTGGAGGGAACAAATGGTGCCAGCACTATGATGAAAAGAAAATGTGGCTGGGCACAGTGGCTCACACCTGTAATCCCAGCACTTTGGGAGGCCAAGGCGGGTGGATCACCTGAGGTCAGGAGTTTGAGACCAGCCTGGCCAACATGGTAAAACCCCATCTCTAGTAAAACTACAAAAATTAGCTGGGTGTGGTGGCAGGTGCCTTTAATCCCTGCTACTCAGGAGGCTGAGGCAGGAAAATCACTTGAACCCAGGAGGTGGAGGTTGCAGTGAGCCAAGATGGTGCCATTGCACTCCAGGCTGCACAACAAGAGTGAAACTCCATCTCAAAAAAAGAAAATGAAACAGCTACAGTGTCGGGGGCAGCAGAGAATGGTAGGATCTGCAACGAAATGAACAGCTTTGTCCAAAGGGATCAGCCGTGATGTGGCCACCTTGGAATACCCACTCAGTATTGCCAGATATTCTGCGTTTCTAAGAGAGGCCTGAAATCTTGATTTTCTAAATTATATCTTAATTTTTTTCATGCTTGATGGAATTTTATTTTAAAAACAAATCTGATCAGAAATGTCTATGAGCCAAACTGGATACAGTTTGGAAATTCAGTGTCACTAGGGCCTCCACCTCACCCCCCCAATTTCTTCACATACACATGATCAAATTACATTTAACAGGTGCCGTCTGCAAATACAATGCATTTGGTTGAAAAACAGAAATGTCTTTAAAGGCAAGACTTTGACATAAAGTGGTAGAACCTTAAAGGCAGTCTTCTGAGATGGAAAGTTTCTCAGGCCTCCTATCACACCCTTCAGGCAGGCAGCTTCTAGCTGTTTTACAGAATGCATCCTAGATGCACAAGGCCACACCAGCGTGTGGCTAAGGCCACCAGAGCTGTGTAGACATGGTGTCTCAGTCAGAGGCCAGGCAGGAAAGAATATGGCACGCTCAAGTTAGGTAACTGAGGAGCCTTTGGTGAAGGACTGCTCGCAAAGGTGCAAATTGCATGGAAGGACTGAACTTAAGGTACAAGGGGAGTAGAAAGATTGAACTTTCATTTTCTCAGTGACTGCTCAGAGGGGAGGCCACAGCCTGTCCCTGCTGGCAGCACCTGGACACTGTTGGGTGTGCCCTCTAGGTTCCCTCCCACTCAGTCCTCTTTGCTTTGAGAGAAATGCTATTTTTATGCCCAAATTAGAGACAAGAAAACTGAAGCACAGCAAGGTGAAATACCTCACTCAAGTCTCAGAGCTCCTGAAAGTTGGGTTGCAGTTCAATCCCAGGCTGTTTAGCATGTGATCCCACACTCCTTGTCTTTCGCCAGGACTTTCTGAGTTCATGAGAGATGTCCCATTTTTCTCTTCCTCTTTTACTGACGAGTACCCAAAGCCCTCTTGCAAGCTGCCCCTCATCCTGACCGTATGATTTCCGCCCACAACACTGCCAGCCTCCCAGGCTCCTGGGTCAGAGCTGGAGTCACTTCTGATGTCTTCCTCTCTTTACTCCAAAGTTCACCAGCCACCAAGGCCTGGCAGCTCTAACTCTCTGACTGCTTTTGATCCCAGAGTATCTCACCTGGACCCTCCCCATTATTATCAGCACTGAATTCATTTTCTTACTGCACAGCTCCGTGCGTAACTCACTATCACTCACAAACCTTCCACAGTGCCTTCTGAACCAGCCTAAACTGAAAAAGCCTAAACTGGTAAGATCTGATACCAGCAATCTTATATTCCTATACCTTCTGCTCCCATGAAGCTAAATAGGTCATGCTCCAGCCCCAGACATCCCCAGCAGTTTTCTTCCTGCCTAACCTTAGTTTGCACCATGAATGCTTACCTGGACAGCCTTCCCTTACCCTCCTCCATCTATGCTGTTGCAGTCTGTGTCCATTAGGGCCCTCTAAGACCCAGACACCAAGATAGGATTAGACATGCAAGAGATTTTTTGAGAAAACTCCCAGGAAAGATAAAGAGGAAAGCAGCAGGACTAAGCAGGGAGACCTTTCAGACCGAGGTGCAGGAAGAGAGGAAGGCTCAGCCATGCTGACTGGAAATCCCAGCAAAAGTTGCCTGTTGGAGGAGCCCTTGTCGGGTGGGCCCACTACCATGTTCGGTTATTGGCCAAGAGCAGCCAGAGGGTGGATAGGGCCTTGATGTTAAAATTACAATAGATCCAAAGGTGTAACCTGGAGGCTGCCAGTCAGCAAAGCACCCACAGCGGGTTCCCTTGTAGGAGCTCTGAGCAGGACACTTGTGGCTGTCACACAACCTTGACATTCCTCAGAAACAGCCTGGTGTTTCACATGCTCCTTGAAGCACCCCTGACTTGCCCTGCCAGAAATGAGGTGGCGTTTTTGGACATTCCTGGGGCTTTTTGCCTTTGCCTCCCTTAACGCACCCCACATTCCAGCACAGATTTGCCTCATCTTACCCACCCCAGCTCACTGGGCTGTCAGTGACCAGCCCACATCCCTCCACCCACAGCATGTCCCTGCACCTCCAACTGGCAGCCCCTGTGTGCCTTTGCCTGAGGTCTTTCTCTGGCCCAGAGCCCAGCTGCCCGTGAATGCACAGGGCATTGCTAGCTGGAAGTCCAGGAGCAGCCCCGTCAGTGATGAATGGGAGCCAGTGCATAAAAACTCAGCTCCCCATCAATAAAAACAAATCTGGACTCAGTAAGGAGAGGCTTTATTCAAAGGATGATTACAGGGAGGTGGGGGATGTTATCTCCCTATTATTGCAATGGAATGAACTCTGTGACCGTAAGATCTGCAAGCATCTCAGGGGTTAGGCAAAGAGCGTTTTCTTTTACAGAGGAGTAAATAAGGGCAAGTGGGATGAAAGAGTTGCATGATCAGAGAGTAGATGGAAGAATGCTATACCCTGAAGCCAGCCTCTTTCCGACCCTTGAGGAGAGGCTGTGCTGGCTTAGGCTAAGGATGGGCCGAAGTCCAGGGACCTAGGTGAAGGAGAGAAGCCTAATCAAAGTTTGGTTAAGATGCATTTTGTCACCTGGGCGTGGTGGCTCATGCCTGAAATCCCAGTACTTTGGGAGGCCGAGGTAGGTAGATCACGAGGTCAGGAGTTCAAGACCAGCCTGGCCAACATAGTGAAATCCCATCTCTACTCAAAATACAAAAATTAGCCGAGCACAATTGCAGGCGCTTGCAAGCCTGTAATCCCAGCTACTCTGGTGGCTGAGACAAGAGAGTTGCTTGAACCCCGGCGGCAGAGGTTACAGTAAGCCAAGATCATGCCACTGCACTCTAGCCTGGGCAACAGAGACTCCGTCTCAAAAAAAAAAAAAAAAAAAAAGATGCATTTTTTTTCCTGATCAATCAGTGAGGACAAGCAGGTTTTTAGGCAAAGAAAGGGAATTTGTGCTTCTGGCCTTGTCACAGGTGAACAAAGTGGACATCCATGAGTCTTTTCTAAGTCTTTTGGGGAAAGGGCTTTTTTGCAGTAAGCTGTTTTCCAGAATGCAGAAGGGCTGGGGGACTCCTAACTTCACTGTTTTCCAGGATCACAGGGCTTGGGTAAAGTTTGACATTGTCTCTGATAGGAAAATGCTGAAGCGTGTTCTATGCGCAGTTTCCCAGATCCCAACGGGAGCAACCAGTTCCTTGCAGTGGTTACTTGTTTGTTCCACACCCTGTATTAGCTGCTCTCCCTTCTCTGTCTCATTCCCCTGCTCCCCTTCCTGTTTCCTGGAATCACCTCCCAAAGAATCATTTTCACTGGAATCATTTTGTCTCAGGGTCTAGGGTAACCCAAACTAAGACATTCACTAAACCTGAGACTCACTAAACCTGAGGTCCTGGACTCGGATGACTGAGGGACCACGAGGTCACCCATGAGTGAAAGGATCAAGTAGGAGTTGTGCTGAACTGGGGACCTCTGCCCTGTCCACGGAGGGGTCACCATTCACCTGTTCACAGGGTCAGTTGCTCCCATAGGAGAATGCAGGAGCAGCATAGATCAGTCTTCTGGTTTTTCATATAAAGCCAGGAATCCACATTTATAATTGGAATAACCTCATTTTTAAATATTGGCAACTAATCAATTTTTTTTAAATACTGAAAGAACCAAACACAACCCCTCTGGGGGTAGATTTTGACCCAGGCCTACAGGTGACTGGCCTGTGACCAAAATCCTAAGCTCCCTAAAAGTAAGTGCCCCGGGCCCCTTCCTCTTTGAGGCACCTTGCCATGTGAACTTGCAGACAGTGATGGTTACACACCTAAGGTTAAGAGATTGGGGGAACCAGTCCATGGGTGCAAAATCAAAACTGAGTCCTATAAATCTTCCTTTGGGGCCTTTTCCATCACATCACCCTTATTTATTTATTTTATTTTATTTTTATTTATTCTATTTTATTATTATTATTATTTTTCTTGTCAGAGTCTCACTCTGTCACTCAGGCTGGAGTGCAGTGTCACGATCTCGGCTCACTGCAACCTCTGCCTCCCAAGTTCAAGCAATTCTCCTGCCTCACTAGGATTGTAGGCATGTGCCATAGTGCCCGGCTAATATTTTGTAATTTTAGTAGAGATGGGGTTCCACCATGTTGGCCAGGCTGGTCTCAAACTCCTGACCTCAGGTGATCCACCTGCCTTGGCCTCCCAAAATGCTGGGATTGCAGGCATGAGCCACTGTGCCTGGCCTCATCACTTATTTAGAGAGGAGATTCAAATAATTCTGAATTCTTACGTTTGTTAGGAGTGATAATCATGTCATGGTTATCTAGGAAAATAGTCCTCTTTTTTGTAGATGCTTACTAAAATTTAGGGATAACATTATATATTTCCACGAAATTTTTTAAAAGATAAAGCAAATATAATGATAGCTAAATCCAGGTGATGAAGTATGGATAGTCATTGTATACGAATATTCTCTTTACTTTTCTGTGTGTCTGAAAATTTTATAACATAAAGTGGGGTGTTGAGAGGAAGTGTTATGAGTAAAGAAGTTCCCACATTCAAGGGAGGTGAGAAAGGCCATCCCCCTCTGGTGGTTCCAGGGGGCTGCAGAGGTTTCTGGCTCCAGGAGAGGAGTCGTGGACTTTAAGGAATTGTTGACTTTAGTGTTCTCCTGTGGGCCCTAGGAGCAGCCTGGCGTCACATGCTCCTTGAAACCCCTCCTGTGGGCCAGCTGTGCATGCGGTGAGAGGGTTTCTTTTTGGCCTTTTCCAGACACGGACAGCTGTGAGCGCTGGATGAGCTGCAAAAGCGATTTCTTAAAGAAGTACATGCACAAGGTGATGAATGACCTGCCCAGCTGCCCCTGCTCCTACCCCACTGAGGTAGCCTACAGCGCGGCCAACGTCTTCGACCGCATCAAGCGCAAGGACTTCCGATGGAAGGATGCCAGCGGTCCCAAGGAGAAGCTGGAGATCTACAAGCCCACGGCCCGGTACTGCATCCGCTCCATGCTGTCCCTGGAGAGCACCACGCTGGCGGCGCAGCACTGCTGCTACGGTGACGACATGCAGCTCATCACCAGGGGCAAGGGGGCAGGCACGCCCAACCTCATCAGCACCGAGTTCTCCGCGGAGCTCCACTACAAGGTGGACGTCCTGCCCTGGATTATCTGCAAGGGCGACTGGAGCAGATATAATGAGGCCCGGCCTCCCAACAACGGACACAAGTGCACAGAGAGCCCTTCGGATGAGGACTACATCAGGCAGTTCCAAGAGGCCAGGGAGTATTAAACAGACGGATGAGATGGAGGACGCCGCCTCTGGTTCTGGAGCACACACGAGCTGCGCTGACCTGCTGTCAGGCGCCGAGACCGTCTTAGCCGCGGTCGTGTGTATTTGTATATACCACATGGGTATTTCCCATACATTGCGCTAGGGGCGTGCGCCACGCCCGGGGGACTGCCCAGGGAAGCCGCCCTCGCCGCCGTCTGCAGAGCTCCTTGGAAGTGCGCCTGGGGAGCGATGTGGGCAGGAGGATGGGGACAACTCGGAAGCCAGAAGAACCTGGAAGCCACAGTGGGTGCGACTCAATTCACACCCGGATCCAGAGTGTCCAAGAGAGGCGAAGGGGGATAGAGACTGAGTTTGTAAACGTTATAAGCAGTTTTTATATATAACTTATTTAATACAAATGTGACTTAAGCGTAACCTTTTCTCTGGAGTTGTGAAACTAATCACTTCTGTGAGAGATCAGAGAGAAAGAGACTTAGGGAAGTGGAAGAGAAAGGGAATTTTGCAATGATTTCTTTAAAACATAACGCAACGGAAATATATCAAAACACGTATGCGTCCACCTTAAACCAAATGTTGTTTAGTCATGAGGCACCTTGCTGGAGTCTCAGATTCTAAAACACTCTTGCCTCAGACTGAGTAGGGAATATGGTATTTTAGGGACAACGCCGAGGATTGGTTTTAAGTAGGCTTTAAAATAAAGGATCAATATTACCATAATACTGTCATTCTACTAAACGGCCCCAAAATGGTAGAATTTCCGCTCATGTCTTAGCAGATTCAGAAGACTGCAGCAAGTTCCGACATAAAAACAGGAAGTAGTACTTTTCCAAGGAAAAACAGCAAAACAAATAGGAAAAAGACCGGACCTCATTTCACCTATTTAAATACTATTTTAACAATTTTTTTCTCCACCAATATATTCCCAGTAAATAAATATAAAAAAAGGTGGCGGGGGGTGGGGGTCAAGTCTGGGAAATCTTAATTTTTTTTATATTTTAAGCAAAGAACAAAACTGCATTATTTTTGTAATGTATTTATTGAGTCACTGATTATTGTGCATCAAGCAATTGTTAATATGACCTGGTCCTATAGGGTGGAACTTAGGAAAAATAAAGTTGGTTCTTACTCAGTATTTTACTTTGCAAAACTCCAAGAAAAGAGAGTATATAATAAAATCATGATAAAATGTGTTACCTGAATCCTTCATTTATGATACAAATGCCGTAAATAGCTGGTGTGAAGCAAGGCTTCATGGTAGGGGAAAGAAAATGTCAACCTAGGTGGGAATAAAAACCTCATTCATTGATTGACATGATTGTGGGTGGTGTAAGCTATGGCATCTTTGACACCAGTAACGTCTACCCAACTCCCAGGAGGCCAAGGCCCATTGACACATGTGTGACTTTTTGCTGGCCCAGACCTAAGAAAGCCAAGCCAGAACAAAGGCATAAGACAGCCCAGTTGAGCAGGGCTACTTCCACAGAAAATTCTGCAGTTACAGTCATAAGTAGAACTACTCATCATGCAAAGTATTCCTTTTCCTGATGAGAAAAACCAAAGCTCAGAAAACACAAGGCACATTGAAGCCATCTTTCATTTCCTAGCCTAGTATTCTTTCTACCGTAGCACATTTTTGAAGTCCTTACATGCCTGGGATCTTTGGCATTCCTAACGCCACCCTTAAGTTATACTGAAACAATTCTATTCTTATGAAAAAGCTTTTTACCAGTCATTTACACTTCTTTTTTATTTTTTAAGACAGAGTCTCATTCTGTTCCCCAAGCTGGAGTGCAGTGGCATGATCTCGACTCACTGCAACCTCTGCCTCCTAGGCTCAAGCGATTCTCATGCCTCAGCCTCCGAGTAGTTGGGATTACAAGCATGTGCCACCACGCCCTGCTAACTTTTGTATTTTTAGGAGAGACAGGGTTCCGAGATGTTGGCCAGGCTGGTCTCAAACTCTTGGCGTCAAGTGATCCGCCCGCCTTGGCCTCCCAAAGCACTGGGATTACAAGCGTGAGCCACCATGCCTGGCCATTTACACGTTAGAATTAATTATTTATACTTTAGAAGGTATTGCCTACTCTCAGAACATTTGTATTTAAGATCTGTGTCTAATTATGGAATGAGAAGCCTTATTCACATCTGAAGCAATTTTATGTAACTGAACTAGTAAGAAGGGAATCAATGGGTCGGTGTATCAGGCAAATAGATTTAGTTTCTAATAATGAGAAAATTTTTTTTGCAAAGAGAATTGGCTGGCAATGGGATGCATTGCCTTTGAGGTGGTAAGTTCCCTTTCAGGACAGGTATTCAAGCAGAGGCTGGAGATTATTCACATGAACAGCCCAACCTGGTGATAAGGAGAGACAAAAATGTATAGGACAAAACCCTCTGATGTGTTCTGTTAAGAGTAAGCACAAAGTACTATGAAGAAATAGAGGCAAAAATCAGGGAAGTATCTGTTGGTTCTAATGAAGGAGTGGGATTTTATCAAGCATAAAAGAACAGGGTGGAGTGGGTGTATTTGTAGTAAGAAAACTGTGGAGAAAGGCAAGGAAATAGGAAAGTACTTGGTATTTTCTGAAAACTGGGAGTTTAAGGTGTTGAGGAGAGGAACAAGAGTGGCAAGTTATAGAGCCATGTCTAAGGTGTTTTTATTAAAGATTTAGCATGGAATCTCAAAAGAGAACAGAGCTTTCATACTACAGTGAAAATGACTGATGTGAGCAATGTTTTCATGAGCTATTTTCCTTTTATATCAGACCTTAATGACCTAATGAACTGAGAGTTGGAAGGTGGGGTGAATTTGGAGGGGAGGGCTTCTGGACTCTTTGCCCTACTGAGAACACCCTGGTCTCCCATGCATCATCAGGATGGTTCCAAACCTCTGGAAATTTGCTGAACTATAATTCACCTCTATTAGGAGGAGCCAATTTTTCAGTCCCAATGCCTTAGTGGGCCAATGAGTGATCTTCAGAAATCAAGACCTCACTGCCTAGGTTGTCTTTAATAAGACAAGGAGACCCTTATCTCATTCAACACAGGGCCCTAAGCTGGTACTAGGGCAACCCCAGGCAGTTGACTCAGTGGGCAGTAGATGATCTGCTCAAAGGCCAACTTAGCCTGTAGCAGAGTAGGATGTCTGCAGTCTCATTGCAACCCTTATGTATATGACCCCTTAGTAGCTGCTCAAATGCTTCTCTTCAAGTGCACTGCTCTTTTGCCTTCCCCTGGAATGAGACCCCTAGTAATTCGCGGAGCATCCTGGGTGCCACATCTGAACACAGTAGTGGTAAACAAAGATGCCCAAAGCCCTCTAGTGGCCGCACAGGGGAAGAGTGCAGCCTAGGAGAGGCCAGGAAAGCCTGTAGCTTTCTCTTCTGACCCAGTTCCTGTAATCGCCATAATTATAGTCTCCCAAGCGCCTCAGTCTTTATATCTCAGTGGCCAAGATGGTAGATTTCTCCATCTTAACACCAGGGGTTAAAAAAACAGTGACTATGTAAGACACCATCTTTTGAGAACACACTTCGTGTCTCTGTGTTAATCATTTTACTACAGGAGACCAGCATTATTACACCCAGTTTATAGATGAGGAAAAGAAGCCCAACAAGGTTAGCTGACTTGCCCAAGGTCAGACCACTTGGTAAATGACAGAGCTCCTTGAAGCCAGTTGTGTCTGACCACCAAAGCCCAGGCTCTTAAACCTAATGCCTGTGCTCGCCTCTCCTCCTCACTCATCCCATGTTCTGCCGGATCCATTCTTTGTTGTGACTCATTGCCTTTGCTTAGATTGTTCAAAAAGGATCTGGCTTTATCTCTATGTATTTTGCTCAGTTATCTCATAGTCCATATAGGGATTTGCTGGTTCTGTAGCTGAGCCCTTGCTCAGGTTGGGTAAGTCACAAAGTTCAGCATTTCTAAAAGATAGCCTAATGCACGGATGAGAAGACTGACGGGTCTGCTTTTCTCACCGCACAGAAGCCCTGTGCTAACTGCTGCCTGTTAAGTAAACCTTAGGGGCAACCTAACAGGCACCTCATCTTCCTACATGCACAGCTTCCAGCACTGCACCTGGCATACATAGTCAACCAATGTTCATAGGGCCTCAGAGTGAGGGTTTAGTGGGCCTGGACTCCAATCCTGACTCTCTCACTTGCCTGCTGGGAGTTGTTGGATAAGTTCATACATTAACGTTTAGTCATTTGCCAAATACTTATTGAGCATATACATATGCCAGATGGCAGAGATACAGCGGTGTACAAATCCAAGTCCCTCCTCTTGGAGGGGAGACAGAGGATAAATAAGTAAGTGTAGAATCTGAGATTATGGTAACTGATATAAGACAAGTTTTTGGATCACACATGTGTGATGTTGTATTATTTAAGGTGATGCTAGTTACTGTAATAAATAATCCTCAAAATCACAGTGGCTTAACCCAAAGAGTAAAGAGTATGTTTCTAGCCAAAGGGCCCACCTCTAAGTGACAACCCAGGGACCCAGACTCCTTCCATCTTGCGGCTCTACCACCATCAAGGCATGACTCTCTAGGATGCCCTGGGAGGATCATCTCAATCCCAGTCTGCTCTAAAGGTAGAAAGCAGGGAGAAAACTTGTAAAGGTTTTTGTAGGTCCAGCAGTGAAGTACTGCCCATCACTTCTAGTCACTCTTTTCAGCTCTGCTACATAACACATCCTTCTGCAAGGGAGACTAGGAAATGAAGTCCAGGTGAGGGGTCTAGGAAGCAGGGGGCTGTATGAACACCCAGTCAATCTCTTCCAACCAGCCACTGCAAAAGACAGGAAAGAAAGGTAGCAGAAGAGGCTCTGGGTGAACCCAAAGTGGGTAGTCAAGGGGAGAGATCCTTCTCACTCCCCCACTGTCTTCCACATTGTATTATAGTGCTGGGCTGGACCCGTTTCCTTATCTATAAACTGTGGTAAGTCCACTTGTCCAAGCTACCTGTTGGCCAGTGCTTTTGCTGTCCCAAGCATCCTCTCAGCACTTTTCATATCTGTTCAAACAAGCCCAACTTTCAGGCAGCGGCTCCTGCATGTCTTTGCCTAATGGCATTTTTCAGCCACTGGAGCTCACTGGTCTTGCATGGAAGACTGGAAGTACTGGGAGTGAACAGACAGAGTGCCTGTTAGTCAACTGGTGATCCTGGGGGAATCAGTAACCCCCCAAGACTCCACTCATCGGTCAGTGAATACCCCAACTCCCTCACCCCTCAAGTGGGGCAACTGTGAAGTGTGTTTTATACCAGTCCACGAGCTCCCAGTGGGATTGAGTTCCAGTTGCTTATGGTGGTAACCTACTTGAAAACACATGCTTTATTAGATTCTTTGCCTTCCCTGTCTCTCTTCCCCACTTCTCTATGTGTACTTGTGGGAATCTTCTACCAAAGAAGCTGCTTGCTCAGATCCATCTCTCAGGGTGTGCTTCCAGGGACCTCAAACCAAACCAAAACATCACTTCACGCTTAAATACTTATTAATAATATGTGCACGATGAAATAGTAAGTGCTTATCAAATATTATTTGATAAGCACTTATTATTTCATCGTGCACATCTGAAGATGGTTTTGCTGTAGGTAATAAACCTACCAAAAAAGAAGAGTCAATCTCATTCTGGCAGGAGTTCTACTAGATTTTAATACCGTTGAGTTGTTACAAAATAAAACTAAAACCCTAATTTTTATTATTAGATTCAACAGGCAGAAAATTAATTTGCCAAATGCCTCTAAAATGTTTTCAGCACTTTAATCTTAGAATAATTTCCTTGCTGACTACAGACCCATACTACTCTTAGGACCACACTTGAGTGACGCTGCTCAAATCAACTGAGCAACAGTGATCAAAACCCCTGTGAGTGTCAATTCTATCCTGACGTACAAAGAGTTATGAATAAGCGTCCCAGGAAGTGTTGGGAGGAGGACATTAGGGTGGAGTTCTCTCTTTGTCATTCATTTACAATTTCCAATGGAAAAATGTGTGGGTCGTCACCATTATGCCTGCACAATTTCAGACAAATTAAAGGCTTGCCTCAGTAATTGCTGGGTGGGTATATGCAGAAACATACATTCACATCTACAGGTCCTGCATACAGTAGTGTAAATTAAGGCAGAGAGTTTACAGCCAGTTGCTTTTCTGAAGCTTGGTATTGGTTTACTGTATGAGATCAGAA